TTTTCCCATATACTTACATCATCTGTGATGCAGAGGTATATAATCCGATCCTGACAGATATAGTGGAACAGATAACTGAAGGGAAAACAAGACACCAAGTATGTTTTCTGAGTAGTTGGTACAAACACACTCCAAGATTACTTGCACGTCAGCTGAAATGGGCACACTGAACCCTTTTTTTCCCTGCTCTCTTCCCCAGCCCAGCAGCAAAATGGCTCTTTTCATTTCGTCCCATTATTGGCTTTCAACATTTCCCCCCCCCCTTCCTCCCCAGAAAACACTCACTTTCCGTGGGAGTAGGTGAGCTTGTTGTTTTCGGAAGGTATCTTGGCCAGGATCTGCTCTGTAACCTCCAGGAAATTTCCTCCACACCATGCGTGCTTGGCCAGGATGGTGGAGCCCCTGGCTACAACAGCAAACAGGATCGCCATAGCTGGAGGCTGGCTGCAGGGACAAGAGACACAGAATGAAGAAGCTTTTCCACGGATCAAAGCACAGCTGCCGCCCCAGTATCACACAGTATGGGCCCCTATCATGTATACAGCTGGAAAAGACCAAAAACAATCCTAGGCAGAAATTCTACGAGAAGACCGTTCCCCCTTTTCAAATTCCATGGAAAAGCGCAGCCCTGTTCAACCAGAATCAACAGGCTCATTTTAAATATGCTTGTGTCTTATCAGTGACTTGCAAACCCCCTGTCATCTAAAACGTGCACGCCCAAATATGCAGGTAGTCCTTGACTTACAACCATTTGTTTAGTGACCGTCAAAGTTACAACAGCATGGGAAAAAGTGACTTATGACCGTTTTTTACACTTACAATCGTTGTCTCCACGATTAGACCCTCAAAATTAGGATGCTTGGAAATCGTTTCATATTTATGACGGTTGCCATGTCCCGGGGTCAGGTGATCACCTTTGGCAACCTTCTGGCAAGCAAAGACCATGGGGAGGCCAGGTTTAATTAACAACTGCACAGATTCACTTAACTGTGGCAAGAAATGTCATAAAACGGGGCAAAACCCATTTAACAACTGTTTCACTTAGCAACAGAAATTTTGAGCTCCGTTGTGGAGGTAAACTGAGGACTACCTATGCACACAGCCGAATTAACAGGTCTTACAGGATACACTCCATTGCTGGAATGAGTAGAGAGGAGAGGAAAGGAAGCAGATAATTAAACTGCCAGCTCTTTCCACTGAAGTGCAGGGATCAAAGTATTGGTCAATGTCCTAGCAGGTGCATTCCACTCTGCCTGCTTTGGTTATGTGCCAGGTCAGTGGTGGCGAGAGGACTCTGAACGTCCATAATTCCTTCAAGTAATCTAAGAGCAGTAGTCACATTGCTTTAAAAGACAATTTTAGCCATGGGCCATTGCATGAGATTTACACAGAGCAAGATGCAAGATGATCTAGTCAGCGTTCACTGAGTTAATACAGAATATTGTTCATGTTAATGGGAGGAAGTCCCCTTTAAAACTGACTGCCATGTTCCTCAAGTATTGGCTCTTCAACTTTATGGCTGTGATGACTACAGAAGCTATGCACACACATCGTGAGATTTGGATAACATAATCTAGTGACCACAGCTATCTTTATCCTTATAGGGCCAGCAGAATGTTAGGGCCTTGGGCCCGTTTTCCTGGACAGATGAATATAAGAAATAATCAACAAAGCCATAAGGCAGACACTCAGTCTGGGAATAGTAATATGTACAGATTATCTCCCATCATTGTTTAAACTCTTAGGACTAGAAGTACGAAGTTATATTACCCTGGAAAATGGCTCTCCCACGGTCTGTTTGCAACCTATCACACCATGAAATGAATGCAGAGTTTCTAAGGGCTTATCAGATCTAAAATCATTCAAAAACGTTTTTTAAAATCTCTCAATTCCACAGAGTAATTCAATACAGGTATATCCATGCATGGGGGAGCCTATTACTGCAGTAAGTCACAAAATGTAGATTTCCAGATCTTTGAAACTTTGGTTAACCAGAGATTTTTTACCATCACTCAAATGTAATTAATGAATATGCTGTAATTAATTTGAACTCATGAATAGGCAAATCTTATTCTGGTACAGAGTTAGACATTACAACAGATGATTTTGGGGGTGGGGGGGCAGTGAAGGAGTACACTGCACTACTAATCTTTACTTGGCTTCCGCCATCTCTGCTGCTATAGAAATGCTGCTATCAGCTTCCATTTCACTTTCCAGTTCCTTCCTAAAAGATAACAATATTACCGCACATTCAGGAACCACAAGATCAGTTCTTGCCCATATTGTCCAAACGCCTTGCCTGTTCAAGCTTTCCAGTGCAATAGACCAGAATCCCATTTGCTCAGCAATATTTCACATATTTGAAATGGTTGCCCTCACCCTGTGAATATTTAGCAAAGCTGTGTTCCATGTAAGTTCTACTTTTTTTTTGTATAATTTTCTGGAAATTAGAAGGCCATCAGTGTTAGTCCTAGATCCCTGTTGTGCAAAGTGACTAAGCAAAAAATGTTTTTCCTGATTTACTTCCACCAAACTTTTTTTATGCCTTCCTGATACTGCTAGTTTTATTCACTTTCACTTTATATCCAACTTAAAGCACTGACTTCTTTCCAGATTGTATTCTTATTTAGACACTATTCACTCTGTGAATGCAGCCCTGACATTTTGTATCAAGGAAGCAAAGTTATTTGTTCCTGGAATGTTGCAAACTCTCCCCCCACCAAACAAAAAACAAACAAACAAAAAAAACCTTTCCCTGCAATCACTATGCCCCCCAAAATACAGGGAGGACCATGACCTCACTATTTGCAATCCATATCCCTCCCTCTTATCTCAGCTAAAAAAGCTGCAAGAAATAGTAAACACTGTTCTTCTTCGCTTAAGAGTATGTTTTAGATGCTAAAAAAACCCAACCTTGGCACCTTTTCTATAAAGCTTTCAGTATCACCACTTAAAACCACATAAATAGATCCAGGCAGCCTGAAGAAATAACTTTCCTTCCCTCCCCCAGGTCAGATCTGACTACAAGACCTTCTGCACAGAGACCAGCTTTCTCAGATTCTGCAAAATGCTATAACTGACCTTCTCCCAAAAACAAACAAACAAACAAACCTGTAAGTCATTGTGAACACTGTTAAGTAACCGTTTACGTCAACTTTCTTTGATCTGCCACACTTCAGTTATAGTTACTTTTTGATTAAAAGATGAAGACTTGATGCATAGATTTATTAATTTAAACTTGTATGCCACAACTTTAGAAGAAAGTGAAAAGGGCAAATTAAATACGGTAAAAGAATTAAAGATGGTAATGACGATGGACCGGATGAAAAGAGCCTGAGTGAAGAGCCAGGATTGCCCATTGCTGCCTTCTGGGACCCTATTTATTATTATTGCAATCATTTTATTCAATTTGCCAGTTAAGTAAATCCACCATGATTTACCAATCTGGCTTACAGTGGTGGGATAGCTTAGTGGCCTCTCATCCTTTCCTAACCAGAAGGGATGTTGAACAATAAGGATCAGAACACATTTGGGAGACACAGCTGGGCCTGGGAAGTGAAGAGAGCCAGACTTTAACACAGCCCTGAGAGCTAGTATGGTGGAGTGAGATACTGGCTGAGAAACCAGGAGAAACTCTTAGGAATGAAAGCCAGCTGGGGTGATTAGATGCCCCTTACTCTGCCTTAGCCCACCACACAAGGTTGTTGTTGGGAGAAAATGGGAGGCAGGAGTTGTAGGCATGCTGGATGCCTTGAGTGATGAGAGAGATATGATAAATGATATAAGATGATAAATGATAGGGATAATAAATGATATGATAGGTAGGTAGATAGCTAGATAGATGATGATGGTGGATGGATGATAGATGGAGGATGATAGATAGATAGATAGATAGATAGATAGATAGATAGATAGATAGATAGATAGATGGAATAGATAGACAGATGGAATAGATAGATGGAGGCAGGATATAGACGATAAATGACAGCTAGCTAGCTAGCTATCAAAAGATGATAAAATGACAGACAGATGACATGAATATCCAGAGATGGATATACATTTATGGATACAGATATATCTAGATATGGCTATATCTACATTTTTATCCCGCTTTACCTCCATATCCACAGAGATACAGTGGGACAGAAACGCAACCAGAGCAGCCTAGCCCACTCCCCACGACTGTCGCCGGAAGAGAAAGTGGCCTCGTGCCTTTCACCGCCTGGAGCCCCCGCTTTCAACAGCAAAGACCGGGATTGAAGTCAAATAAATCAAGAAACGATCAAAAAAAAAAAAAAACACACCAGCTCAGCCATCCATCAGCGCCTCGGGCGAACCCCGCCTGCGCGCCACGCAAGGCCGGAGCCCGGGCCGAAAGGACGAAGCCCCGGCGAGGAAAGGAGGGGGGGGTCCGGGTTCCAGCCCCTCCTCGGCCACAAAAGCCACGGCGGGGGAGGGAACGTCCTACACCGCAGGAAGGTTGTTAGGGATCCCCCGACGGGTTTTGGAAGGGGGCGAAGGATGCTCAGGGGAGGGCTGGGGGTGACATGGCGACAGCGTTGCCATGGCGACAAGGCGTTGACCTGCCCCCTCCCCTCCGCTCCCCTCCCCGCACGTCCCGAGCGTTGCTGCCTCGTCCAGGAGCGGCAAGCGAGGCTGAAATCGGCCGAGCGGAACGGACCCGCCGCCGGCTCGGCTCTCGGCGGGCGCAGACGCGGAAGGAAGCCCCCGCTCGCCCGCTCCCCCCCCCCGCCCCTACCTTGATGGGCGCCCGCCGGGAGCCCCGTTTCGCCCCCCCCCGTTCTCCGCCGCGTCTTTCGCCGAAGACACCAAGGCCACGTGAGCTTCCGCCGCAGGCCGCCGAGGCTTCTGGGAAACCGAGTCCGGCCGCCAGAGGCCGGCGCAAAGCCAGAAGCCGCGCCACGGCCGCGTTTTGCTGCTGGGAAGCGTAGTTCTTTCGCGCGGGGAGAGGCGGAAGTAGCCTCCGATTGGACAATTGGGAGGAAGTCAGGAGACTGCGCCTGGGAGGGGCGTTTGACCCCTTCAGCGGCTCCCTGGCTTGGAGATTGCGGCTCCCGGCATCCCCTGCGCCCCTGCGCATGCGGGAGAGATGGGGGACGAAGAGGAGAAGCAGCAGCCGCGCGTGCTGCAGATGGTGAGCCCGGGCGCGGGGAGGCGGGTAGCGTCTTCATAGATACACACACACACGGGTGTGTGTGTGTGTGTGTATGGGTATATATGTGTGTGTGTGTGTATATGTATGTATGTGTGTGTGTGTATGTATATATGTGTGTGTGTATATATTTGTATATATATATATATATGTGTGTCTGTGTATGTATATAAATATGTGTGTGTGCGTATATATATATATGTGTATGTGTACATATGTATACATATAATATACATATATATATATACACACACACATGGGGGTGTGTGTGTATGGGTGTATATGTGTGTGTGTATATGTATATATATGTGTGTATATATATATATGTGTCTGTGTATGTATATAAGTATGTGTTTGTGTGTGCGTATATATATATATATATGTGTATGTGTACATATGTATACATATACATACACATACATATGTGTGTGTATATGTATATGTGTGTGTGTGTGTGCGTATATATATGTGTATGTATATATGTTCTACTTTTTATAATCTCTTTTGAGATTATATTTTTTATCAGACAATGCTCCTGGGTCTTTTGAGGGCTATTGTAGCAGGCGGAAATCCATCAGGTGAAGCCTTTACCTAGGCTTTTTAGTTATTCAAAAGCCATCCTCATCCCAATTAGCAATTGCCAGTGCTAAGCAAGGTGGTTGTTAAGGGGGTGCCCCAGTTTACGACTGTTTTGCCACTGTTGTTAAGCGAATCACTGCAGTTGTTAATGAATCTGGCTTCTCCCATTGACTTGGCTGGTCAGGAGCTGGATGGGAAGGTGGCAAAAAGTGATCAGATGACCCCAGGACAGTGCAACTGTCATAAATACATCCCAGTTGCCGAATACCCAAAGTCTGATCACACGACCCTGGGGGTGTTCCAACAGTTGCCACTGAAAAACGGCCAGGAGTCCCTTTTTTCAGTGCCGTTGTAACTTCAAACAGTCACTGAACAAATTATTGTAAGTTGAGGACTACCTGTGTAATAGCTGGGGAATAGATGGATAGATAGAGAGAATAAGTAGAAGAACGGAATGATGTTCCACCATTTAACATAGGTATACTGCTCTTAAGACATTTTTGCCCAAAGAAACCCCTCCATTTCCTTTCAGCCTCTGATTTTATTTCTCTTCCTCTGTCTGTAGGTACGAGCTGAGGGGTCGGATAAGACCTGTGTCACATTTGTGCTCAACAATGAGGACCACACCCTCGGCAATTCTTTGAGATACATGATTATGAAAAAGTAAGTAAAGGGTTCCGTTGCAGGGGGGATTCCCACTTTTCTTAGTAGGACAAAAAACTTCAAAGCATGCAGGGCCACTCCTATAACACCTCTTTACAACTCCTTAAAATAGCTGGGTCTTTTCCTGGAATTCTGCAAAGCTAAGTGAAATCACATTTTGTTGAAGCACCCCTGGGCAAACTTTTAAAGCACCTTTTAGCCTCAGATTCAAAGCATTGCTACCACCCTATCTCATAATCTCCTTATTGCCATTTGGAGACACCCGATACAGTTGATGCTTAGCAGGAAACTGTTGTTTGCTTAACTGTGATTTGCTAAAAAGATAGGTGGGTTTCTACTGTGCATCAAATCACACAATAGCTTTGTATAGCTGTGCTTTTATATGAATCCAAACCTCTTAAAATAGTATTTGGACAAAGTAGAGGATTGTTGACTGGCTCCAATAACTTAGCGTCAACATTGATATGAGGTTGGAGATGGTTATTTGTCATCTCCACTTCTGAAGAAGTAACTGACATTGGCCAAAACAGCTTTAGTCAATTTTACCACCCCAGCTTAAGTGTTGGTTTTGTGAATACAATTTTGCAATGGATTGATATTTTCTTTGGTCCCCCCCAGGCGTCACACAAAAATCACTGTCCCAAAAAAATGGGTTAGGCCCTCTGAATGGGAGTATGTTCCCTTGTCCATTAGACAGCATACATCTGTTTGAGTACTAAATATAGAGTTTAACCTTCCCTGATGTATGATTTTTCAGAGCATCAGATACATAAGAGAACATTATTTGATTTTCCTCTCTGCCTCTGTTATAATCTTTGTTCCCTTGCAGCCCTGAAATTGAGTTTTGTGGTTATAGCATCACTCATCCCTCAGAAAGCAAAATCAACTTCCGCATCCAGACCAGAGGTGAGAGCACCGCGTCCTGGAGATCTGACAGAATTGGCCGGCCAGCTTTTTACTTTCATGAGAAACCTCGTGCCAGCTTCCTCTGCTCATGGGTTCCATTGCTCTAGGGAAGCTTGTCTTTCCAGAATGATAAACCGCAGCACGAGGATTGTGTCTATAAAAGCCCCGTGCAGAAAGTGTAGCTTGTGTTAAAGCAAATTTTTCTTTGGCCTCCTGATGGCCTTATGTCAAGCATTTCAGCTTTCATTCTTTCTTTTTCATTTCTACAGAGAGGAGGTTTAAAGGCCAAGCAATTCTCTTAAGTCTTGCAGAAATTTAAGACATTCTTCCCTCCTTAAAATGAAATATACTTTGAATGCCCCCATTACAAATTGGATTCTTTCCTCACCCAGTGTAGCCTTTGACATCTCATTTGGACTCTGGTATGACTCCCGAACCAAGATAATTTTTGCATGTTGTCTTAGAATGTAAGATATTGGCTAAGAGACTGAGGAACTGAAAGTTCTCAGATAAATCCTGCTTCTGGTATGAATTTGAACAATCCTCCCCAACTCTTGAGATCCTTTCCCTCCGGTTTAAGGGAGGCTAGCGCTAAGCACAGAGTTTGCTCTGGATGGTAGTAAAATAGTATATGTGAAATGGATCGACCTACAGATGCTACACAGACCTTTGGATAAGTTGGCTGTTTGCCTTCCATTACCAAGAATTGCATGCAAGGATATATGCAGAATATATAGGCAGCAGAAACTGCGGGGGAGGTCGAAAAAGTCAAAGTCCCACCCATTGCATGACGTAAGTCCGAAGGGGCGGGCCTTTGTTTGCGCTGGTATTGGCTGCCATCTTGACTTAAACAGGCAAGGAAGTCAATTGGTGGGAGATGCAGGAGGCTTAGCTCCTTTTCTGGTCTTCCATGCTCATGGCAGAAGGGGAGTTTAAAAAAATGCAGCCTAATAATTATTGTTCACATTACTAATTTACAAGGGAAATACATGAATTGGTGGAGAAGTTATTTTTATCCTACTGGGGCCCTGGGAGATTTGTATGGATTCTAGCGTTTCATGTTGCTATTTCATGATTTTGACAATCTCACTGATGTGACCTAGAGACTGGTGGTGGGAGCAGCGTAAAAATAATGTGGCAGAAATAAAATTGATCTCTTCTCTGATCCCCCAGGGGGTCTACCTGCTATAGATGCCTTCCAGAAAGGACTAGAAGACCTCACGGGCGTCTGTCAGCATGTGCTTAGCACATTCGAGGTGAGTCTGAGCGATTTGCCCAACAGAGAAGTATATATTACATGTTAGAGGAAAGAAATGTAGAAGGCTGCAGGGGACACTTAGATCAACGGTTCTGAGATTTCTGAATGGAGCAGGGAGTAAGAAATTTGATACAGAACATCTTGAAAACCCCAAACTTTCATTGGACAGTGATAATTGGGGGTTGCCAAAGTGAGCAAGAGGGTGCACTGTGTGATATAAGAAAGCCTGGGCAGAAATAGCACTAAGACTTGTATACCATCTCATAGTGCTTTACACCACTCTCTGAGTGGTTTACAATGTAAAAGCATTATCTGCATATTGCCCCCAACAATCTGGGTCCTCATTTTACCGGCCTTGGAAGGATAGAAGGCTGAATCAGTCTTCTTGAGCCAGTTGGACTCGAACTCCAGGCTTTGGGCAGAGTTAACCTGCAATCCTGCACTTTAGCCCCTGCGCCACCATGTTCACCATGTGCCATGCGCCGTCTTGCCAACTTTGTCCCCCTCCCTACAGAGGCTACTCCCATTATATATAATGAAATGTATATATCGTTTTGGTCTAAAATAGAATGTTCAAGGGGTGGCTGTCATATCTACACCTGTAGCATAGCTGGGGCCGTGTTTCGAGCAGTTGGTCTTCCCATCTCATTAATCCCAGGAACATAGAATAGAAATGGAATGGAATGGAATGGAATGGAATGGAATAGAATAGAATAGAATAGAATAGAATAGAATAGAATAGAATAAGGAATAGAATAGAATAGAACAAGGAATAGAATAAAACAAGGAATAGAATAGGATAGAACGGAATAGAATAGAATAGAATAGAATAGAATAGAATAGAATAGAATAGAATAGAATAGAATAGAGCTGGAAGGGACCTTGGAGGTCTTCTAGCCCAGCCCCCCGCTTAGACAAGTGACTGTCTAGCCTCTTCTTAAAAACCTCCAGTGATGGAGCGCCCACGATTTCTGGTAGCAAGCTGTTCCACTGGTTAATTGTCCTCAGTCAGGAAGTTTCTGCTTAATTCCAGGTTGCTTCTCTCCTTGATCAGTTTCCAACCATTGTTTCTCGTCCTGCCCTCTGGTGCTCTGGTGAACAAAGTGACCCCCTCTTCTTTGTGGCAGCCCCTCAAATACTGGAACACTGCTATCATGTCCCCCACCCCCGAGTCTTTTTTTCTCTAGGCTGGCCATACCCAGTTCCATTCTCCTGCCAGATGCTCCTGTGAAGAGCCTACGTTCCATTCGAAGGAGACTGGAATCGGGGTCACCTGAAGCGTGAGAAGGGCAGGAAATAATTTTTATAAATAAGTAAAAAAATACATAAATGAGGAGATCCTAACAAAGCCGTTATTAGTGGCCATTTTCAGGCTAGGATGGTGTAGCAACAGATGTCTGCTAATCAAGGGACTGGACTGACTTTTGCTGAAGTGCTTATCTCTGATTCTGTCGCCTAAAAAGTTCAGAAACTTTGTTTTCTATTACAGGCAAGTGTAGAAGAATACAAGAATGATGTGAGAATGCAATAGTACGTCGACACCTGCATAAAGGATAAACCTCTGCGTAGAGCAACGGGTTTGGGCACTATGTCTTATTAAAAGACATTTGGTTGTGTTTTTTTTTAAAAAAAAAAATCTCTTTTTTTCTAAGGCCTGCGTGACAGAATCTTCATTCTCCCTTTAGTGGTTTAATGCCTCTTTTCGTCAGGAAGTGCTGAGAATTCTACGTTAATACTGCAGGATTTGTATCAACGGTGGTAACTCTTCAAGATGTCAGGTTTGTGATTGGCCCAAAGTGTATCTTTTCACCTGACCAGCTGAATCTGAAATCTCTTTTTAAAGCTATCACAATAGCTGCGTATGATGTTCTCCTCAGAACCACTGGGGGCCTGAGGTGCCCATATAAATAAAAAAAAGGTATCTGAAGGACATCCAGCTGGGGAAGACTTCTTGTGGACTAGCTTCTGACAGTGGGGACATCTAAGATCATGGGGATGGTCGTTCCACTCTCTTCTGCACTGAAATATGTTTCCTGTTTTGGTTGCCATAATACAAGAAGAATGTTGAGAGTGTTTAGAGAAGAACAAAAAAGGTAACGAGGGACAATCCTACAAAGAACGGTTCAGAGAAATAAGTACAGGTAGTCCACGACTTAACGGCCGCAATTGAACCCAAAATTTCTTGTTCCTAAGTGAGACATTTGTTAAATGATTTTTTCTTTGAAGACATTTTGCTTTTCATCCAAGAAGCTTCTTCAGCTTCTTCAACTCTGAAATCTGGGCACTCCAGCACTGGAGGTTTTTAAGAAGATACTAGATAGTCACTTATCTGGAATGTATAGGTTCTCCTGCTTGAGCAGGGAGCTAGAGTAGAAGACTTCAAAGGCCCCTTCCTATTCTACTCTACTCTACTCTAAAAACAAGAAAGTCCAGTTGCCTTTTGAAAAAGCACTTTTGAGACAACCATGATTTGGATGACTGAGACTCGCTATAAATATTTGCGTAAATCTTTACCTTAATTCCTTGCCTCAGTCTTTCATTTGTAAGCGGTTTTGGTTTGCATTGAATAAATAATACAAGGTTTTTCCATGCCAAAGTGTACAACTGAACAAAAAGCAAGGGAGTTTTCTCTCAAAGGTTCAGATGCTGTTGCTAATTGTGTTCTTTCCAGGCTGTTGATAGCTATGCTGCTTCTAATCTATTGATTGAATCATTTCAGCTACAATTGTAGACCTGAGATCAGTTAGAACAAATGTTGCCATCACTAATACCTGCAACCTTTTAAAGCAGTATTTTATTCAGAAAAAAGAAATGACCGTTATTTTAGTCCACATTAAACACACATTATGGTTTACATAGACTGTCAAAAAATCCTAAATCATAATATTATATTGAGATTATTACAAATTCTTTAGAGGCTACTTGAGTTCGAAGAAGAGAGCACGGTTGCTATTGTTTGGATCAGCTGGAATTTAGGAATATTTTGATTCAAAATTAAATCTCTCTTGGCTTGCCAAACAGATGGCCTCTGTGCTAGGTGGGAATTTCAGATGTTGAAATCTGGAAGGTTGTGGAAAGCTACTCTAGTAGAGGCCTAAAGCTAATTTAACACTACAGGTAGTGCTCAATGTATGACAACTTGTTTAAGAACTGTTTAAAGTTTTGATAGTGTCAGAAAAAGCAACTTGCAACCCTCCTCAAAGTTACGAATGTCGCGGTCACCTGATCACAATTTAGGCACTTGGCCACTGGCTCACATTCATAATGGCTGCAGCGTTTTGCAGTCCCGCGATCACAAATTCTGCCCTTCCAAGCTGGCTTCTGACAAAATCATTTGGGGAACCTGGATTTGCTTAATTGTGATTCCCTTAATGATGATATGATTCACTTTAACAACCATAGTAAATTGGTGGTTGTATTGGTCCAGCCACGTCACTGACTTCTCCAACCACATTGCTTAGTGCAAAAGTCTGGTCCCAACCGTTGTAAGTTGTAAGGACTTATGTCTATGAAGTTTAGCCTGAAGGAAAGAAAATAAACTTGATGGGAACTATTCCCACTAAATGGATCTGGGATTATCATTTCAGTTTTTTATCAGTAAAATATTTAATTCACTTCCTGACATGAGGAACATAATGAGAGCAAAGCTGCCTGTATAAAGAGGGTAGGGGTGAGGGATAAAGATAGAAATATTAGCAAGATCCAAAACAGAAGCAACCTTTCAGGATTTGCTTTTGTATCCTAAGCAAAGAAATCTTTCTAAATAGGAGAATATAACACATACAATGAGCTAATAGGTTGGCAACATACTAGAACAGGGGTCCCCAATCTGTGGGTCATGAAGGGTTTATAACGGCCCTGGAAACGGCCAGCAAGCATGCACACGCATCCTTGCGTGAGCAGTAGGCCAGCGCATGTACGTACTCCATTTGCGTGAGTTGCAGGTGTGCATGCATGCCGATTGCAGAAGCTACATGCATGTGTGTTTGTCGGCCACTTGCTGGTCCACAAAGCTGGAAATGTTGGGGAACTCTGTACTAGAATGTCTGCACAAAGGGATTGGGACATATATATATACATATATACATACATGTTTCTGGCGTGGTAAAAAGTGGTAAAATCTTGCAATGTTGCTTTCAAGATTTATGACATTTGGGGGCAGAGACGCTCTTTGTCAAACAGAACTTTTATTTCGATTTGGTGTCATCTTGTTCTTGAGAGAGTTGACTAGGTTCATGAACTATGTTGAAAGCTTGTGGCTCACTCTGATGGATAACTCCACCCATGTTGTTGATGGTTTTGTTAACTTGGATTCTAGCAAAACAAGATTCCACCAACTATTAGTGAGTCGGACATGCATTTGGATTTATATGAGACTTGCTCCAGATCTTCAGCTTCATGGGTAATGTGTTTTTCTAGGTCATCTCAAGTTTATTATCCTCTAGAACAGTAAAATAAAGTCCCAGTATTTCTTGTAGGGTCTATTTCCTGACATGACCTAAACTGGACAGGTTATTATCAACCTTGAAAGCCAGAAAGAGTTTCTCTCCCTCTTATGACATAGCCAATCAAGGCAGGTCAATCTTGAATTGCATTATCACAGCCTCTTGTTTTTCTGGGTCAAGCTGATGTTTTCGTAACAGTTGTTGCACGCCTTCTCCAAGGTTATTGTCCACACAAACCTCTGCACCTAATGATCATGCTACTCTGCAATTTTAGGTGTTAACAATAACTTTCTCCAAGGTTATTGTCCACCTGTTATGGATCTTCCTACATTTTGTCCCCACTACAAGAACTGTGTAAAGTAGGTTAAGCTGATATAGAATAGAATAGAAGAGAATAGAAGAGAAGAGAATAGAATAGAATAGAATTGGAAGGGACCTTGGAAGTCTTCTAGTCCAGCCACCTGCTCAAGCAGGAGAACCTGTACCATCTAAGACAGTGGTTCTCAACCTTTCTAATGCCGTGACCCCATAATACAGTTCCCCATGTTGTGGTGACCCCCAAGTGGATGTGGCCACCAATAAGAGGGAGTAGGACAGCTAGGGAAAAGGAAAAAAAATGGCGGACAGCATGGTTTGGCGACCCCCGTGAAATGGTCATTCGACCCCAAATGGGGTCCCGACCCACAGGTTGAGAACCACTGATCTAAGACAAGTGACTGTCTAGCCTCTTCTTAAAAATCTCTAGTGATGGAGCGCCCACGATTTCTGGGAGCAAGCTGTTCCACTGGTTGATTGTCTTCACTGTCAGGAAGTTTCTCCTTAATTCCAGGTTGTGTCTCTCTTTGATCAATTTCCAACCATTGTTTCTTGTCCTGCCCTCTGTGCTTTGGAGAATAACATGACCCCCTCTTCTTTGTGGCAGCCCCTCAAATACTGGAATACTGCTATCATGTCTCCCCTATTTCTTCTTTTTCTTTAGACTAGCCAAACCCAAGTCCTGCAGCCGCTCTTTGTATGTTTTAGTCTCCAGGCCTTTGATCATCTTAGTTGCTCTTCTCTGAATTTTTTGCAAACTCTCAACATCTTTTTTGTGACATAAGGTTTTATAAAGCGGTACTAATACCTCGCGTGATATTGATTCTGTGCCTCTGTTTATACAACCCAGGATTGTATTAGCTTTTTTTGCTGCTGCTGCTGCTGCTGCTGCACACTGCTGGCTCATGGTTAAGTGATCGTCCACTAGGACTCCAAGGTCCCTCTCATAGTTACTGTTTTTAAGCCAGGTCTTGCTTGGCTTCAGAGTTGACTGGAAAAGTCAAGCTGAATCTTGCCAGTCTTATACCAACAACTTCATCACAAGACTAAGTAAATGACGTCCACCTACATCACGGGCAGTCATTGGTGGGAAAAGGAACGGATGATACAATTAAAAGTTGCAGCATAGAACCAAAAAGTTCACTTACATATTTACGTCAGACTTCAGGACGCATTGCTTGTATTAGGATGTCCCTGTGCATGCCACCATTTTGATGTAACCTCAGTTGCAGATGAACTACAAGTCCCACTGCATTTTCTTGGAAAGGAACATGAGTAGTGTAAGAGATTCCATCTTCCTACCTACTCCTGTCCCATTTGAGTTGGAGGCACCGTCTAAGGTGCTTCCAGGTTGAAAGGATTAGCCAGAGACACCAAGTTTGCTTGGGGGACACCCGTGTGTGGGGTTCCTTTTTATGTCCCTGTCAAGGAGCTGGAGTGAATGACGGGAGCTCACCCTGCCACACAGCGGCACCCGGGTCTCGAACGCGGGCTTGCTAACCCAACATCCTAACCATATGAGCCACCACATTCCTTCCTACCTACTTAGCTTAAAAAGAAAAAAAATATATGATCCTGAAGCTTGGATGAAGAGACAGTGACAACCCACGTTTGTTCACTGAGAAATAGCTTAATTTCTCTGTTCTGTGTCAACCCTTAACCCTTTTCTGTTTTCTTCTTGCTGAGTATCGCCCCTTGGCTTCTGCTCGGTGTGGCCCCTTTTATACAGAGCAGATAACCTGGGATCATGCCTATTCTTATGGTCCTCAACATTATTTTATTCTGTAAGGAAGAATGAGTAAAGAAAAGAAGTGATCATGAAAAGATAAAAAAAGAGAGAGAGAGAGAAAAGAAGAGAAGAGAAAAACAAGATCGCTAGCAGGGATTTTTTTTTGAAAGGGCTGTGACTGAAGTCGGATGATTTGAAAGCAAGGCTCATCCCTGTGGAAGAAAAGTGAATTCAAGAGGAATACCCCAAACCAAGGTCCCGTATCTGAGAAGTCCATCTCAGAAGTCCAATGAAATGTTCTCATCTTGTTTCCTCCTGGGTCTAAGTCGAACTGCACTTATTGCTCAGGTGAGAACTGCTCCGGTCGAGCTCCTGCCCGTTGGCTTTCCATTTTCCCACGGATCCCTTATCGTCTGTTGGGAGGATGCCAAGTGCTGGCCGTTGGCACCAGCAACAAAGGCAGGACTAGGAGAAATAAAACAGAGATAAGAGTCATTTAAGGCAGGAATGGATAGACATCAGGCTTCTGAGCAGCGCTGGTTCCTCTGTCCTTACCCAATATTGGAGGAGAATAAGTTGAGGGTCAAGAGTGAAAATCTGGCAGCTACATGCCTCTTTGCTTTCATCTTGCCAATAGAATAAAGGGGGGGGGGAGATGATGCTTTTGAATGGGTTAGTCAAAGAAACGAAATCTCTCCAGTTCTGCCGAGAGACTGTCTGGAAACTTTTCAAGGTCATTCTAGCTGGTGTGAAGAAGATAGCAGATGGTTCTCATAACAAAAAGAAATTGCTTACCTGAGCTGCGTATATATTTTGGGGGAGGGAGGGCTGTTGGCTGGGAATTTCATTATTATATGCTATGGTTAGATGCCTTGGGACTTTGGGGTTAGTTTCCCTTCGCCTATACCCGCGGTTCCCAACCTTTTCTATACCCTGCACCCCTAGAACACTTCTGATATATTCTCGCACCCCTTGACAAAAGTTCAAAACGAATTATGCGTATACACTATAATTTTGAAACTTCTAAACCCAAGTTTTTGCAATCCCTGGAATATTGTCTCGCACCCCCCGTTGGGAACCCCTGACCTATACCATACCGTGTATTCAATAAACTAGTAAGTTTTTCAGAAATGAAAGTGATCCTGGACTTTATTAGGCTATTCGAGCTGGAGGTTGATGTTGAGATTGACAGATCACAAACATGGTCATCAATCACCGGTGAAGTTTTGTCTCATTCTTCCTGGCTCAGGATAGGCCCAGAAGTCACTAATGGTAGCTCTGCCTTCACACACTCTGTCAAGTTTATTTGTTCTCCCGAATTAGGTAATGGCAATAGCATTTTAGACTTACATACTGCCCCATAGTATTTTACAGCACTCTGGGTGAGAGTGTATTTTACAATGTCAGCACTACTTGCATATTGCCTCCCAACAATCCTGAGTCCTCATTTCATTGACCTTGGAAGGATGGAAGGCTGAATGAACCTTGAGCCCTGTCAGGATTGTACTCCAGGCTGTGGGCAGAGTTTGCCTGCAACACTGCAATTCTAACCACCGCGCCACTAGGGATCCAGGTAAGGTGGCAGTAACCACAGCTAGCCGAAGTTTGCTTGCTGGTGGTAAAAGAGAAGGGGTGTCTGTGTTCTACACACCATAAGAGATGGTTTTCTGCTTCTTGCAAACCATCTATGTTTTCTCTTGAGCGTCTGCTGAGTGGAGTTGGAGGCAAAAAAGATTGCAGACATCATAAAGGGGGAAGTAATAATAAAGTTTTCCTCTCTATTTTTGCTGGTACTGATCTGGATGTGTCAGTTTATCATGTCCTCCCTCCTTCCCATCACAGGCCATCCTCTCGTCAACTCTTACCTGAAAGCAGTTCTTAAATTTCCGGCTAACAAAATAGAGAGCCACGGGGTTGATGCAGGAATTGAGAGAGGCCATGTTGATTCCAAAATAATCCATTACCAGAAGGAAACTGGATGGAAAGAGAAAGGAAAGAGTCGCGATATAGAACGTTAAAAGTGAAGCAAGATGATATCTTCAAGGACAAAGTCAACTCTTGATGACTCCAGGAATATATCCAGCATTTTTCTTGGATATGGAAGACATTGCCATTGCCTTCCCAACTTCTGGGATATTTTTTTCAACTTCCCAGCCTAGTCTGTAACCTTCCATATTTTATCCTAGGATTTAACCTTCTTAGCTTTATCAGCAGAACTGAGGGCAAGCTGGGAAAGCGTAACCTGTTTCTTTTCGAGAATTCTTTCAGTTCAAGCCAGATCATCCAAAGGATTGCTTAAGCCCTGGTTAGTTTATGGATTGACTGTCGCAAGGCACTCTTCATTGGTTGCCCTTGAGAACCATATGGAAGCCTCAACTTGTTCAGGATACAGTAGTGTGACCAGTTGGGGGCATGCCGCAGTTTACCCATCTAACATTTCACTGGTTCCAGGTGCAATTCGAAGTGCTGGTTGTTGCCTATAAAGCTGTACATGGCATAGGGCTTCATTACTTGAGGGAGCTCCTGTCTCCCATAGTATCTGCCCAGCTAATTTGATCTGGGACTCTTCAATTAAACCAGGGGTCTCCAAACGTGGCAACTTTAAGACCTGTGGATGTCAACTCCCAGAATTCCCCTGACCAGCTGAGGAATTCTGGAAGTTGAAGTCCACAAGTCTTAAAGTTGCCAAGTTTAGAGACCATGAATTAAATCAACCTTCTGCTTTATCTTGCAGAAGGAGCTTACTGACACATAACAATATCTTTGTGAAAGGATCTTGACAAAGGATCTATATCAGTGGTTCTCAACCTTTTTAATGCCGTGACCCCCCAACCGGTCGTAAGTTGAGAACTACTCAACCAGTCGTAAGTCGAGGACTACTCAACTGATGCAGCACCGTTTGCAGAATGGGACTTTTGGCAGGCTCAGCAGGGCAGAGACAGCCTGGACAATTCCTATTGGCTTTTGAAAGCCAATAGAATTAGACTCTATTCAAGAGAGTCTATTCTATTGGCTTTCAAAAGCCAATAGAATAAAAGGGAGTAGCACAGCTAAGGAAAAGGGGGAAAAAAATGGCGGACTGCGTTGTTTGGCGACCCCCGTGAAATGGTCATTCGACCCCAAATGGGGTCCCGACCCACAGGTTGAGAACCACTGATCTACATGGTGATAACTACTAAATCTTTTGCATTGTTTGGGACTGCCCTATCTCCTGATGATGTCAGATCTTACAAAGTTCAGCCCAGACTCTTCCATGATCAAAGCAATAGTTAGATCAGCCTGAAGACCTTGTAATTTGGGGGAAAGGCCGTTAAAATCTTGACAGTGGTTTTAGATGTTCATCACTCCTTCACAGCCCTACCTCAAGACTTTATGTTGCTTTTATCAAATGTTTACAATTTTATGGAGCTTTTTAATGGATGTTGTCATGAAGATCCCAGCTGCGGTGGAAAGGTGGGAAAGCCATAATTCAGGGGTCCCCAACCCCCGGTACTGGGCCATGGCATGCCAACAATCGGTCCACACAACAAAGCCCCATCGGTGGGATGCAGGGAACACACAAAACCACGCACTATCTGGTCTGTGGAAAAACCTTTCTCCACGGAACTGGTCCCTGGTGCCCAAAAGGATGGGGACCTCTGCCATAATTGAATCAATACACTTATAAATACATAAAGCAGAAAGATTAATTGTCGAAACTGCTGAGGTTTTTTTTTTTAAAGTCTCATATTGTTCTGCATATTGTTCTCACCTAAGCAGCTCACATCTATCAGCATCTTGTTGGTTATAGATGGTCTTCTTGAGAATCCTACTGAGATGAAGAGGAAGCCAGCAGAGGGCAAAGATCACCACTAGACAGAAGACAGTTTTGGCCACTTCCCTGCGCTGGAAAACACACATGTGATCGTTGAAATGAACAGAACGTTAGAAAAAGTTGAATTCTCTCACGCACCACTCCATCCTGTCCTCTCTGGTATTTAGGTCAGACCTTAAGGGGCTTCTGCCTTTTCCTGTTCCCCACTTATTTCTCTTGTTGCTTTATCTATTTGTGCTACGCTTGTCTTAAATTGCTGTTAACCACCCAGAATCATAAGAGATGAGATGGGCAGCCATATAAAACTTCCCAATAAAACGTAAGTAAATAAGATGGCCCTGCCAAGTCTTAAATATAAAATTAAACAAGGAGAAGAGGCAAATATTTCGTCCTACAGGGTGCAATCAACCACTGCCACAAGATAAGGTCTTGGCTGCTAATAGAAATAGCCTCCAAAGAGCTGGACAAATCCACGAAGAGCAGATCTGTCGATGGCTATTAACTCTGATGATGGCTAGTAATTTGGTGGGTACTGAATCCACTCACCTTCCTCCAGCATCCGGCATAACCAGTAATTATGATTTGATATTCCAAACTGGACTGGAATAATAGGCTAAAAGTCTAGTGCACTTTTGGGTCAAAGGGAGAGGGCAATTAGCAAATTATCAAAGAAAAAGATCCATTAATTCCTGATCAACAAATGCACATAATTCATTGACCATTATTTAAATCAGACGAGTCCAACCCATGTCTTGCAGGCCACATGCAGCCCTGGAAAGCTACTAATATGGCCCTACAAGATAATAAAAAAATAAAGGAAGTTTGTTTTTACATACATTCGCTATATTATATATTTTATCATTGGCTTATCGGCTGCTGCTTATACTTATTTATCTTGTGGATGCTTTTATTGTTTTATTGTCTTTTCAATTGTTTTAATTATAAATTGTAATTAGAATTGGAAGCCATTGAGAATGAGTTGGGTGGCTGTAGAAATTGAATAAATAAAGTAAAATAAAATAATGAAATATATGTGACTCAAGACAATTCCTCTTCATTCATTGCAGCCCAAGCAAGCCAAAAGGTTGGATTTGGATGGACAATAATGGCAGGAGACAAAATGAAAAAGCCTCTCCACCCCCTGTGTTTAGCCAAAGGTGATCTTAGCTAGAGGATCTCACCCGTTTCATGTGATCATTGAGGGCCAGCCGCATGCCGTTGCTCTTGCTTAACATCTCGCAAGACATGAGGGAGTAGAAGACCCCAGTGCAGGCCAAAGGCAGGCAGAAGTAAAATCCAAAGAGCCACCAGTCTTTCACATCCTTGTAAAACTGTGGACAAAGAAAGAAACAGCTTCAAGGAATCGGTGAGCTACGCATCCACCAAACTCGCTCGTGTGCAGAAATCGGAACCAGGCCCTCTGCTAAGCAAGGTAGTGAAATGTTTTGAGTTCTAGGGTTGTTTGAACCGGCCAGTTCTGGCTTTTTAAAGAAGCCATAGTTAAACAATCTAGAGATTGCTATGTTGTGGGAACTCCGCTTTTTTCTTTTTTTTTGACCACGATATGCAAATGTCAGACTACTGCAAGCTCTTGATTGCAGAACATTTACCCAATCTAAGCAAAGATAGGCTTGTTCTAGAGAGTGCTTTAGTCTTCTACTACTACTGTATGGTTGGTGAGTAGATTTCACAAGATTCTTTCTCCTCAGAGACCTTGCCCCTGTAGCTGTAGGCAGCAGCAGGTCTTGCCCATATCTCTCTATGGTGTCTTTTCTATTTCCAAATTGGAGGGTCATACAGGTACATTGTATATTCATTGTTTTTAAGGGATGTTAGCTCTTCATTCACATTTTGGGTTACAAAACATATTTGCCAAGCTAGCATAGGTGGAAAACTTTGGCTTAGATATGTTGTTTTATTGTTTTCTTTTTTTGTAACGGGTTTTTCTATAGCTATCTCCTTCCTTTCCTTCCTCCTTCCCTCCCTCCCTCCCTCCCTCCCTTGACCATAATAAAGACATTTCAACTTCGTTATGTCATCCCAAGAGAAATGAAACTAAGGAAGGCATCCTATCTCTTTATCTTCATATTGTGGTATGAAGTCACTTGTGCCCATCATTTCTGAGTGGGGTGGGGTCTGATTCTCAACAATTTTCTTTTTTCTTCCTCCACGTACATTTGGAAGTACCATGCGCAAGAAGTCGAGCTTACACCAATGTGAGCATACCTCCAAGCTAGGGCCTTCTGGGATTACAACTCCCAATTTTTCCAACGAGTGCCGGAGAGTAGTAAACCCAGCAGAGTTAGAGAGAGCACCAGAATGGAAAAAGACGGATAAATAAGAGCAATGTACCAAAGTGAAGTGAAGCTTCCAAGCAACCACTGTGTCTTCCACCTACTCCCAACTAGCTAGAGCAGTGGTTCTCAACCTTTTTAATGGCACGACCCCCCCAACCGGTCGTAAGTCGAGGACTACTCAACCGGTCGTAAGTCGAGGACTACTCAACTGGTGCAGCACCGTTTGCAGAATGGGACTTTTGGCGGGCTCAGCAGGGCAGAGACAGCCTGGACAATTCCTATTGGCTTTTGAAAGCCAATAGAATTAGACTCTATTCAAGAGAGTCTATTCTATTGGCTTTCAAAAGCCAATAGAATAAAAGGGAGTAGCACAGCTAAGGAAAAGGGGGGAAAAAATGGCGGACTGCGTTGTTTGGCGACCCCCGTGAAATGGTCGTTCGATCCCAAATGGGGTCCCGACCCACAGGTTGAGAACCACTGAGCTGGAGCCTGTCCATTCAAAGCAGGAAGAGATATACACTGAACGTTAACAGCCTCTCGGTTGTTCAACGTCTCTGTTTCCTATCACTGCCAAAGGAGAGAACCTACCACCATAAAGCTGGATTTCTGCTCGGGGGCCAGGAAGCAAACCCAATGAGTCTGTTGACGGTAATCCAGTTTCACCAAGTCAAAGGCAATGGCTTCCGGGATAGCCAGGATGATGGCCATGGCCCAAATGAAAGTCACTTCAACTGCCTTCCACATAGGGATCCCAACGCCCTGGATACGGCTCCAGGAAGCCACCGCTCGGTATCTACAGGAGAAACAAAGGAGACACTATTTGCAAGAAGAAAGAGCTACTCATCCCGTAAAAATGAGAAATACGCCGAAGCGTTTATTACCGGTCGATACTGAGAGCACAAAGGCTGAGGACGGTGATGCCAACAGAGGCCTTCTGTATGAATGGAACCAATTTACAGACCTGCACGCCGAAAGGCCAGTCTTCCGCAAGAAGCTAGAAAGAAAAAGAAAGGAAAGAAACTCGTGGTTATTTGTCCATAATGGAAGATTCTGGGTAATAGAGAGATTCCAGGCAAATAAGGCTTGGGGAAGCACAGCTGGTCCTAGGAGCACAACTGAGGGCAAAAATTTCTGCTGTTAAACGAGTTTTGCCCCATTTTACGGCCTGTCTTGCCACAGTTAAGTCAATTCGTGCAATAATTAGGTTAGGAGCATGATTGTTAAGTGAATCTCGCTTTCCCCATTGACTTTGCTTGTTAGACGTTCACCAAAGGTGATCCCGGGACACGGCAATTGTCATGAATATGAACCAGTTGCCAAGCGGTTAAATTTTGATCGCATGACCATGGGAATGCTCCAAGAGTTGGATGGAAAACCGATTATAAGGCACTTTTTTCGGTGCCATTGTAACTTTGAATGATCACTGAACAAACTGTTATAAGTCAAGGTCTACCTGCATAGTCTCTACCGAACTATCATCATGTATTAAAAGGCACCCCTGATTCCCAGCATCTCTGGGCAGTTAAGCTTGTTGGCTTTATATTTTTATGTAGAATCTGTCTATGTACTAGATCTGTAGGAGACAGTAAAAACCATCACTATCCTGTAATTAAAACCAGACATATTGTAGGAGATGACTAGGCAGAGGCCAAGGCTGGAGTCAAATGCATCATCAGTTTAGATTAGAATCTCTATATTACCATAAGTGATCTAAGTCACCCCTTAAAATCCGTTAACAGTCTGGCACTAATTTGCCTTGACTGTTAGTAATTCAGATTCTTGCATGAAATAAACCCCTTAGTGCTTTTGAAGTCTATCTTTTGAGCAACTAGGATGATTAAAGGCCTGGAGACTAAAACATTTGAAGACCGGTTGCAGGAACTGGGTATGGCTAGTCTAGAGAAAAGAAGGACATGACATCAGTGCTCCAATATTTGAGGGGTTGCCACAAAGAACAAGGGGGAGGGGGTCAACTTATTTTCCAAAGCACCAGAAGGCAAGACAAGAAACAATGGATGGAAACTAATCCAGGAGAGAAGCAACCTAGAACTAAGGAGAAATTTCCTAACAGTGAGAACAATTAACCAGTGGAACAACCTGCCTCCAGAAGTTGTGGGTGCTCCATCACTGGGGGCTTTAAAGAAGAGACTGGACAGTCACTTGTCTGGAATGGTATCGGGTCTCCTGCTTGAGCAGATGTTGAACTAGAAGATGTTGAACAAGGTCCTTTCCAGGTCTATTCTGATTGATTGAGGCAAACCATTTATATACTATATATACTCTTTCTTCTATCCTGGTTCCTGATTTTGCACCTGACATATCTTGAAAAATCCTAAGAGCAAGAAAAGTGCAAACTTAGCATCAAAACTGCCAGCTGTCCCCGAAAACGGGATTAAGAAGGCTCGTCTTTATTGTAATTTAGGCATGGCTGACAGTCAGTTGAGCGTCACTGGGGCAGAGAGGAGAGCTGGTCCACTTGCTCCAGGTTGAATTACTACTTTTCCTGCAGATTCTTGCGTGTGATCAGATGTGAGCCTTTCCTTTCTCATGATCACTCATGAATGGTGGTTGCATGTTTACATTCTCTGCATTTCTGGATAATCTCCTGACCCAAACAGAAGCCAGAGAAAAATATTAAAATGTTAACATGACCACGGAAACAGTCTGCAGACAACGCTGGCTCAAAGGCCTTGAAACAGAAATCAGCACCATCTAGTATAGATGGTAACAACTAGCAGTGTAAGATTGGTAACCTCCCCCCAAATTGTGAAGATTATTCTGTAAGCGTTAATGGCAATTGGGCTGTCTTGTAGATTGGAGTTTTAATGGATGTTTTGGGGGTTGTTGTTGTTTTTTTGTACATGTGAGATTGCTTTGCTTCAACTGTTTTTTTACAATAATTGTAAACTGGCCAGAATCTGAAATCATGTGGTAAATACAGATTGATGCATAAATAAATGAGTCATTGAGATTAGACTGAGAAGTATTTGTAATACGTAGACTGGTTTCAAATAAAGCTTATGATAAGGTGAATTAGGAATGGGTAAAGAACCCCAGCTGCAACAACTGTAAACAGGATTTATGAAAACTCAAGAAGTTATTGTTTCCTGCTTAAAAAAAACTCCATGTAAATTACATTAAGAAATGTTTGCTGTAGAAAATCTAATTATTAAAGACGGCTTTTAGATTTAACCAAAAGTATGGTTGGCTTTTTTTTTTAAAAAAAAAAATGGGTTACATGCATGTTTGAAAAAGAACAACTGGAATAATTCAACCTCAGGAGATAAAAAATAATGCTTACCCTTGTCTTAGTCTACTAAATAATGAAAAAGATTTTTCCTCTTTGTTTTATGTTCTGAACACTTTGTTCAGATTTCAGATCAGCTGTTTTTCCATACTCAATGCTGCAACCTTGTGACTCACTGATGTGATGAAAGATGAATTACAAGGATTATCCCAATCTTAAAATCTTGTTGACCTTCTAACTCTACTTCAACAGCCAGAATATGTAAGGTAGACCATGAGCAAGTCACCTATAGTTTTGGGATTACGTGTGCCAATTTCTTTATTTGTGATCAGAATGTAGCAATGTTTTTTGGACTATTGACCAAGTCCCAAATATTAGAAAATAATATCCAGTAATTACATTTTTTTCTTAATATTTTTCCACAAGTACAGGTTACTTTTTTCCCCTAATCAGCCAAGGGTTTGTCCATTGGTTGGGACAGGAATTGACTGACTGAGCCCGACATGGTGAGCTGAGAGACTGACTAGTCCAGAATCACCCAGTCAGTTTTCATGCCTGAAGCGGAACTAGAACTCACAGTCTCCTGGTTTCTAGCCTTGTGCTTTAACTACTAAACCAGTGGTTTTCAACCTTTTTAATGCCGCGACCCCCAACCGGTCGTAAGCCGAAGACTACTCAACCGGTCGTAAGTCGAGGACTACTCAACTGGTGCAGCACCATTGGCAGGATGGGACTTTTGGCGAGCTCAGGAGGGCAGAGACAGCCTGGACAATTCCTATTGGCTTTTGAAAGCCAATAGAATTAGACTCTATTCAAGAGAGTCTATTCTATTGGCTTTCAAAAGCCAATAGAATAAAAGGGAGTAGCACAGCTAAGGAAAAGGGGGAAAAAATGGCGGACTGCGTTGTTTGGCGACCCCCGTGAAATGGTCGTTCAACCCCAAATGGGGTCCCGACCCACAGGTTGAGAACCACTGGACTAAACCAAACTGCTTCTCATCCAGAAATTTCCTGTTAGTTAGAACAATTAATCAGTGGAAGGATATGCCTCCTGAAGCGGTGAATGCTCCAACGCTGGAAGTTTTTAAGAAGAGATTAGACAGCCATTTGTCTGAAATGGTATGCGATTTCGTGCCTGAGCAGGGGGTTGGACTAGATGACCTCTAAGCTCCCTTCCAGCTCTGTTATTCTGTTAATTACAAAATCACAGTGGAAAATAATACTGGCCCCACTTTCTCATATCTTTCGCCTCCTCTGGGCTGTTTGCACTTGCATGTTGTTCCTACGGATATTTTGGGAATAGAATACAAATTAAGATGGATTGGCAAAAGATTGCCCATCCTGGATTAGTTAATACTTTGCTGCATTGGCCAGCTGTCGAGCTGGGTGTAAGTCAATCTCTGGGTGCCTAGGTTATCCATGGCTTTTCCCCATCTCTTCTCCACATCTTTAAGTGGCAAGGGAGCTCTCATCCTAACCACACCTGGGAAGATCAGGATTATTGGACAGGAATGCATCGTTTTGAAATGAATTGCTGCAGATGATTGCAAGTATAATACGTTTGTGGGGTTCGTGAAGATGGAATAATTGGAATTGTGAATATGGAATAACCGACTCCTAACGACTTCAAGTATTGCTCCTTCACCATCTCTTGTTAATATATACTGCTCAAAAAAATAAAGGGAACACAAACGTATAGGATCCTATACGTTTGTCTTCCCTTTATTTTTTTGAGCAGTATATTTAAAACTGCTAATACTGAACTTTCTGTCCTTTTACTTTTGCAGAGCAAAGCTGTTGGAGTAATGGCCAAAGTCAGTAGAGTAAGACAGCTGCCAAGCTAATTCCAAGCAAAATGTGAGAGGGATGTCAATTTCTCTCAGAATATTTGGATCCCATACATCCTCCACAAGGACATTTCCAGATTGAACTAAATTGGGTCTCCTCCAAACTCCAACTACTATTAGGACGTATATCTGGACGGACACCAAGTAACACCACTCTTCTGAGTCCTTGCCAAGCTGACCTCTGATTACGTTCAAAGGAGATGATTGTGTTAAAAAAAAAAAAAATCCCAACCAGAAATATCTGGGAAGGAGGAGAACATGAAACAATTAGGTTTCACAGATATTTTGGCCTGGAGGCCTCCCATTTAGTCACATTTCACTGCTTTTACGACATCTGATCAACTTCTGGCTCTTGAGCTACAGAACAATCGCTCCACTGTTCCTTCTACTGCAATGCTCTACAGTGAAATGGGGAAAAGTAATCCCGTAGTAGGACGTCCGTTCCATGTTTTCATTCTGATGTTAGCAATGCACTTTCAGTTCTCCTTATCCTTCCACGTGCAAGTTTTCTGGTCTGTGAAGTTGGGTGGGGATATATTTGTTCAGGTGACAGGAACAGAATGTTTTCAATACTCCCCCAGAGGGGTATTTTCAGCCCATAGAAATCTACCCTATTTTTCATGGCCATAGTTGTCACTTTCAGAGAATCATAGGGCTGGAAGAGACCCTGGAGGTCTTCTACTCCACCCCTCCTGTCCAAGACATGAGTCCTTCTACCATCCTGGACAAATAGTTGTCCAATCTTTTCTTGAAAACCTCCCGCGACAGAGTACCCACAACTCCAGTTCCATTGATTGATTATTGCCAGGAAATGCCTCTCTAGTTCCAGGTTGGATCTTCCCTCTGATGGGTTTTTCACCCATTGCTTCTTGTCCTGCTCTCAGCTGCAATGGAGAATAAATCAGAATGACAGAATAAGAAAGTTGGAAGGGCTCTTGGAGATCTTCTAATCCAACCCTTTGCACAAGCAGGAGACCCTATACCATTTCAGACAAAAGGTTGTCCAGTCTCTTAAAAATACCTCTAGTATTGGAGCACCCACAACTTCTGGAGGTAAATCGCTTAACTGATTAATTGTTCTAACTATCAGGAAATTTCTCTTTATTTCTAGGCTGGTTCTTTCCTTGGTTAGTTTCCATCCATTGCTTCTTGTCCTGCCTTCAGGTGCTTTGGAGAATAGCTTCACTCCCTCTTCTTTGTGGCAATCCCTCAAATATCGGAACACTGCTATCATGCCATCCCTAATCAATGCCCTCTTCCCTGTGACAACCCTTTAAGTAGTGGAAGACATTTATTAGGTCTCCCCTAAGCCTTCTACTAGGCGAGACATATATCTCCTTTTTGCTGGACTGTACCATTTCAAACTATAGGTCACAGAAGCAGCAGCAACTTGCAACTTACCAGCTTAGATGGCCAGATCTCTGATAAGGACCATCGGCAGCCCTACTATTCAGATCCATTTTCAATTGCCTTTATGACATCTGATCAACTTCTGACTGTTGAGCTAGAGAACGATAACTAACAGTAACTTGACATCAGGGATCAGATCTGGAATTTTCTGTAGCTACTACATGGATGGTACCAATTTCTATGGACTCTTCCTGGTTGCATCCCAAGCAGATGCATCTTTTTACATCATGCATGTTCTACCGTTACCAACCTTATGTTTGAGCTCCTGTTGACTTCATCTCATTGATCAATCAAGTGAAGCTGGATTTGAAAGGAAGAGTGTCATAGCAAAGTGATAAACCCAGTCGAATAACAATGGTAAGTTACAAGTGGATGAGTAAAATAAATAAATACCTTATAGACATTAATGGGCAAAGCAATGAGGATGTAGAAGAGGTCTCCAAGAGCAAGACTGGCAATGAGGACGTTGGGTCCGTTTCTCATGCACTTATTCTTATAGATGATCCTTAGCAGGGTGGAATTTCCAATGATACCCACTATGAAGATCGTACAAGAGACAAATGTGTTGATGTACTTGAAGGCGTCCCGGATTTCTGTTGGCTTCGTACACATGACTGGTAGTGGAGCTTGTGGGATGGCATCCCCAGGAAAGTCCTTTGACTTGTTGGAGGGGATTCTATGATCTGGGAAGATGCCTGCTTGGATAATTTTGAAAGTTGGGTCTTCTCCCAGAATCTCCAAAGCTATGGTGCTGTCTTTGAAGCTGTTGGCTGTCTGGCTGGAGACCCTCAAGATCAGGCAGGAGGCCAACACCAGAGCAGTGAGATGTCTACCCATGGTGAAGCCAATTTCAAAAACCCACACAGTTTTGTGTGTGTTGAGCATTGCAGTGTTAACAATGTCTCCTAAGATGTCCTATTCTCATCTGCAGGTGGGAGACACTAGCAAAGAATCTGGATAACAAGAGAAAATAAAAAAAGTGATATTAATATAAGCATGACTTTCTTTTCATTTGATTGTTGTTCACAGAGGATAAGTAACCCACATAGCCTATGGGTCTTATATACTCCCTGGTTGTTTGAGTGGATCTCAAAATCTCTTCTACAATTGCCATAGACATTTGCCAGTAAAATTGATGAACTAAATCCTTGGGATGCAGATGAATAGGTATCTGCTTCTGTCGCTTTCTTTTCTACTCCATATAGTCAATGGAACTCAACTTTCCATGAACTCTCACAGTTTTTGGACCTCATGATCATCAACATCATCATCATCAAGTTGGAAGGGACTTTGGAGGTCCCCTAGTTCAACCCCATGCTCAGGCAGGAAACCCTATACCAGGGGTAGGCAACCTTGGTTCTTTGATGACTCGTGGACTTCAATTCCCAGAATTCCTGAACCAGCCATGCTGAAGGGAAAGGGAGCGTTTCCAAGCTGAGCCATGCTGGCTCAGGAATTCTGGGAGTTGAAGTCCACGAATCATAAAAGAGCCAAGGTTGCCTACCCCTGCCCTATACTATTTCAGACAAATGGCTGTCTAGTCTCTTCTTAAAAACTTCCAATGCTGGAGCATTCACAGCTTCTGGAGGCAGGTTGTTCCACTGATTGATTGTTCTAACTGTCAGAAAATTTCTCCTTAGTTCTAGGTTGCTTCTCTCCTTGATTAGTTTCCATTCATTGTTTCTTGTCTTGCCTTCTGGTGCTTTGCAGATTAGCTTGACTCCCTCTTCTTTGGGGCAGCCCCTGAGATATTGGAAGACTGTTATCATGTCCCCCCTCATCCTTCTCTTCATTAAACTAGACATACCCAATTCCTGCAACCGTTCCTTATATGTTTTAGCCTCCAGTCCCGTGACCATCTTTGTTGCTCTTCTCTGCACTCTTTCTAGAGTCTCAACATCTTTTTTACATCGTGGTGACCAAAACTGGATGCAGTATTCCAAGTGTGGCCTTATACCAAGGCATTGTAAAGTGGTATTAATGCTTCACGTGATCTTGATTCTATTCCTCTGTTAGTGCCTGTTAGTCCCTCTGTTAGCTTCTAGAAGACTAGAAGTAAACTAAAAAAATAGAACCCGTGGCATTCCAAGTTAAAAGGAAAATGTTAGAACTGACAGATGGCCAGGTGATCTTTAAGGTTCCTGGAGCAAATAGGAAGCTGAGCCTTCCACCCTTCCGAGGTTGGTGAAATGAGGACCCAGATTGTTGGGAACAATATGCTGAGTCTGTAAACTGCTTAGAGAGGGCTGAAAAGCCCTGTGAAGTATATAAATCTAAGTGCTATTGCTATAGCTATTCCAAGTCCCATCAGCCACAGTCAGCATGTGTGATGGCAAGGGCTTATGAAAATTGTACTACGTATGGGAGATTCCCAGCTCCTGATATCTAGTTGGGTTTGATTAAGGGGTGGTGTCATCAAAATACAGTATGTTGAAGTTAGTTCAGAATGTGGGAGGTGAAAACGAGGGACATGTCTCAGTTATTAGAAGGAAGAAATGTCTTTCTGCTAAAGATGAAGTCATTGGGACGTCAAACTTTATCCAAACAATAAATTAACCTAAATTACATTTCAGTTCTATCCACATACTTTCTGATTTACAGTAACAGCGAATAGCAAATTGCTGAATCTGATACGTAATGTTATTTCTTGCAGAGTAAATTTTTAAACATGTTTTAAAGATATTTACCCCACCTACAGTGGTGGGATTCAGCCAGTTCGGCAGAACCGGTAGCTAATTTTTTGTTGCCCAGGCCCAGAATGGACGTCCGGAAGTGGCATCCACACAGAGAACCTGTTGTTCCCATATTTGAATCCCACCACTGCCCACCTATACACATACATGCATACGTACGTACCTACATACACAACTCAAGGTGGCCAACATATCCAACATACCTTTCTCCTGTTTTCTCCAGAACAACCCTATGAGGTGAGTTGGGCTGAGAGAGATTAACTGGCCTAAAGTCACCCAGCTGGCTCTCATGTCTAAGGCAGGACTAGAATTCCCAGTCTCCTGTTTTAGGCCAGCACCTTAATCACTGCACCAGACTAGTTCTCATCGCTAAATAAAAAACAAAGTAGTTCTTTGGAAAGCTGTAAATTGCTTGGAAGCTGAAATTCATCATTAATGCATAATAATATAGCATTTCCTTATATAATTCCTTCTGCGAAATGATTGCTGTACAATTGCTTTCCTGTTATATTTACAAAACTTTTTAAAACAGATCCCGGATCCCAACTCATAATTTAATTGCAAGATTAGTGAACAATGAAAAGGAAAGGACTTCAAGAGGAAAGGAATAATGATTTTTTTTTCTTTGCAATGAGTGTATTAAAATAGGATCCCCTGCCTTAAAACATCAGTCAGTGACAATTTCAAATGCAAGAACACCTGTCGGGCTGTAAGTCCCAGGAATAACCTTTTTTAGATTTAAAATCTACAAACGTTTCACCACTTGACAATCACCAAATCAAATCTGAAACCATTAAAATACACATAAGCCATGCTAGTTTAAGTTCATGACACTAAAACATTAACACAATAAAATGAATCTTTTCATTGAAGTATTTCTAAATCAATAAATAGAGCTGTCAGCTGGCTTTTGCAGCTTAATATTTCTCAGATGCATTTGGTGTCCCTGATAATGATTCTCCCGATCACGAACAATTCAAGTGGTTTGGCTGTTGTTTCCGGGTTCTGCAACTGGGAAGTTTTTCAGCTACCTGGTTATAGTTTGTAAATATAGGATCCAACTTTCACCCGTTTGTGTTCCCTAATTGTTTAAACTTAGTTTCCACTGCATATACATCAAAAATGTAAGACCAAGAAAGAATTTGAGATCAATGCAATTTACAAAGAAGCATCCCTTAATTCAGGTTTTCTCCACGTTGGCAACTTGAAGATGCATAGGCTGGTGGCTGGGGAATTCTGGGTGTTGAAATTCACACGTCTTGAAGTTGCCAATGTTGAGAAACACTGCTATAGTCATTCATCTCCTCAGCTGCTTCCTTTCATCCTTTAATTCTCATCGATCCCCCCCCCACTATTTTAAGTATAGCAATTTCTAAACAATCCCTTTTGAACAGATATTCCAAAACTGATGGTCCACATATCACCATATCGCCCTAGCAAGATTCCATCTTCTGCTAGCCTGATGCATACAACTTGTTTATATTCAAATTCCCATTTTGTTACCTTGGCTGGCTGGTCAAAGGAAGGAATAATCCTTGTGTTATGATCCTAACACTCCAGATTTCCCTTTCACCAAAACTAGTTCTTTGCTGCTGCTTGCTGGTTAGAGGTGTTTAGAACCTAGAGCGTCCTAATTCTGGTGCCAGAAAAAAAACGATGCAGCCGGAGATGCTGACTACGTTAAGCTTGCTGAAAACATCTTCCAAGGATGAGCAGTTCTTATTTAGGGGCTACAGCCAATGACATGAGACCAAAGAGCAGAGGAAATTGGATGGACAGGGCAAGTTTTATCCTGTCGGAGGAGAGCACAAACAAGTGGTGTGTTTCAAGCAAGGGGGAGGTGGAGGAGGGGGGGAAGTTTTGGGCAGGGGAATCTCATGTTCAGGAAGCAGATTCCAAAATGCAAGCTCATCTGATTTTCAGCAACGGATTATTGATACATGTTTCTCAACTTTTCAATTAGCACCTTTGTTGTTATTGTTTTCTAATAAAACAGCAAGAATTGTTTTGCTTATAATCTTCCTCTGTTTTTCCTCCCCCCCTCTCTCCTTACTTTTTTCTCTTTTTTTTCTCCTGTTCTGGTGTATCGTTAACCCCAGTTTAGATTTTAGTGGGATACAAGGTTGAAAGAAACTACAGAAAAGTACAAACCACGAGGCCAATGGCCTTAAAGCCTTGTAACTACTAAACATTTCTTACAAGGAGGATTGTAAAGTAGTGCTGAATGGGAATATGGGAAGAAGAGCAGGATTTGAGCGTCTCACCCACATTTTCACCCACATGAAATGGAGAGAAAGAGGCTTGTGTGCTAGAAAAGGGCATATTGGTCCATTTCAGATTCCCATTTTGGCATGTACTTGTAAACTTTCTGCAAATATTTTTTATAAAGCTCCCTTATGTATCATTTTTTGTCAGGTGTGAAGAATTGGGACCACACAAAAACATTCCAGTTAAATTGATTTATTGCTCATGCCTATATATACAAGAATCTGGTCAACCAGCAATCAGCACTAAGTGGTGCTAGACAAGTTAGTAGAATTAAAAGGGGTTGCACAGAGGCTGCTTGTGGGAATGTAATGATTCCAAGGCTGATTCCTCTCTTGACTGTGCCCCAGGCTCTACCACACTTTCTCCTCTATCTTTGTAGGAACTTTCCCCTAATATTCTGTATATTTATCCATATATCTAGTTATATATTGTGATGGACAATTAGGAATTATAATTACTACAACCTTCCTCAAAGGCTGATACTTCCTCTGCATCATCTTCTAAGGTATGGACCACTCTCAGATTTCACAGTGCAGATCTGGAGAATGTGCAGGCATGAGAAAGCTAGACTAGAATAGAGATAGAAACGAAACAAGTCTCCATAATAGAGAAAACTGTAACCAGGTGATTTGAATGGTTGGCTGGCTGCTTAACCTGTTGCTAGTTCAAGAACAGATGTTAGGCTCAACCCTAGAGATGACACAAAGAAATCCAATCCAGTTCGATTCTTTATTTGCTTACATCTAGTAGACAGAATCTTGCCAGCCTAAAGCTATGCCTATTAGATATATCTTGAGAAGTTCTTAGGCTATAGCTACTCTGATTCTCCTTCCCATCCAACTGAGGACTGCACAGTGTCTTAATCTGGGCCTCTCTCTTGGAAAGCATTGTGTTGCTAAAAGCTTCCTCCAGACACACCATCACAATATGCTGCCCAAAGCCTTTAAAAACATTCTAGTTACTCAGCATTGGTTATGATTGTTGAGTGCTTAGAACTACCATTAGTTGCTGGAGGACCCTGCAGTTATAATCTAGAGCATCTACAGATCACAAGGCTGAACCTTTAGTTGGTGATCTGCTGTTTCCTATTCTGAGACTGAACCAAGCCATAAATATTTCATAAACTTTTTGCCAAGGAAACTTTGTATGTCAGGTATCTTTGCCACGAACAATATCTTTCTTTTGGTGAATAACTGTAAATCTTTTTTGTTCTTTGTTGGAAATATTTTTTTAATGATTCTTGCAAAATGTTTGGAATTTAGGCTGGAAAGCAAATATAATATTTCTTGTATTTCTAGGTCTCTCCTTGGAATAATTCAAATAAAATCCTGACTGTTGCACATCAACTACCTCAGATACAATTCCGACGATTAGATGTTGTCACCACCATCACTATTACCCTTTCATCATCACTTTGATCAATGTCTCATCGTTATTATCATCCTTTGAAATCAAGACATTCAAAGATGAGAAGTAGTTTGGTGTAAAGGTTAAGGCAGGGGTGTCAAATTTGCAGCATCACACATTTGACACCCCTGGTTAAGGCCTCAGGCTAGAACCTGGGAGACCATGAATTGTGGTCTTATCTTGGACACAAAGCCAACTGAGTGAACCTGAGCCAGTCCATTTTTCTCAATCCTAGGAAGAAGGCAGTGGCAACTCAATTCTGAAAAATCTTCTCAACAAAACTGCAGGAAGTTGTCCAGACAATCTATGACAATCAGACACAAGATAAGGTAAGGTAAGGTAAGATAAGATAAGATAAGATAAGATAACCTTTATTGTCATTTTTTTTTACTGTGGGCACAATGGCACACATCAAAAATGAAATTTAGTTCCCACTCTCAAGTGAAACACATACATGACACACACCTAAGCATATGTACAACATACATAACAAATATTAAATATTGTCCATCTTAAATATATAATGGAAGGATGAAGCTTGATCAAAAGAAAAAAAAATCTAAGATGGACTAACAAATCCAAGAAAACTGGATATTTTTATTAGCATGCACTGCTTACATTTCGAATTACTATTGATCTTGAATAAAATGTAGACGGACACATTTGCAGGAATACACTACCATTTATAAACCATTTACAGATTGGCAAAGACCAAAAAATTTGAAAAAAATAATGTATCCCAGTCATAATGTAGCCCAGTGATCCGTTATATGCTGTGTCTTGTTGCATTATGATTATGTGATATGGTTTGAGCCTTAAGACAGCAGACAGATGCTACTTAAGGCAAATGTCCATTATGTGATCAAAGAACGGCAATCAACGGGGTGCAGCAGAGTCACCAGACTGAATGAGACTGAATTCTGAGGCCCATTTTAGGTTTTGAATGGGGTTTTTTTGGGAATGAACCTAAAGCAAATTAGATCTGCTAAGCCTAGCAGATTCTTAATACTGCTATTGTTACTGTTTTTGAGACAAGGGGGAAAATGCTTGTGAAAATCAGTATTTTTTTTCTCTTAAATTTTGGTACCATGATTTTAGAGGAACTTTAGCGGTGGTTAGAAATAAGTTCTGGAGATTGCCGGCCTTCTTTTTCAGACTCAATCTCCAAATAGTAAATGGTTTTGGTTTATCATAAACATTATTGACTAACTCAAGTTTTTACTTTCAAGCTTTGGGAATTTCTCCCTTCCTTGGTCTTATCTAGCATCAACTACACCATACCTATCAACAAACATTGTATTTACAATCCCATGGCACAAGAGAATTCTCCTAGATTCCATGCAAACATTTCTTATCTAGAAATCCTATTTTTTTCAGTGATGGTGTCTAAGATTTTCAGCGGCTAAACTATCTGAAGGAAGGAGCTTGTAAATTATCTTGGAAAAATATAGAAATATATTTGGGAATATACATAGTTTGACCCTGGTGAAAATATTCTGGGCTACCAGTAGCATGAGACCCACACCCATTGACATACAGAATGTAGAATAACAAGAGTTGTAAGGAACCTTTTGAAGCTCTTCTAATCCAATCCCCCGCTCAAACAGGAGACCATTCCAGAGAAATGGCTGTCCAATCTTTTTCTAAAAACCACCAGTGATAGAGCACCCACAAATTTTGGAGGCAACCCTTTCCACCTAATTGTTCTCACTGGCAGGAAATTCCAGTCTCTTCTTAAAAACCTGCAGTGATGGAGCACTCACAACTTCTGGAGCCAAGCTGTTCCACTGATTAACTGTTCTCATTGTCAGGAAATTTCTCCTTAATTCTAGGTTAGATAGCTCCTTGATAAGCTTCCATTTATTACTTCTTCTTCTGGTGCTTTGGAAAATAGGTTGATCCGCTCTTCTCTGTGACAGCCCCTCAAATATTGGAAGACATGCAATACAGGAGCACCACTTTATCAACATATGGAAGGCTGGATATTTTTCTTGTTGCTATTTTCAGTCAGAAGGACTAATAGTTATCGGACTCATTTTCATATCTTCTAAGTAGTCCGTTATCCAGATGATAGTCAATCACCAGTGGGGAAAAAATGGGGAGAATTCAACTTTTTTTTGTTTACCTGTCCCACGAAATCTATCGCTTTGACCTCGTAACAAATAAATGAAAAGAAAACTGACATCAGAATTGTAACTTTCAACCACCCAGTGGAAAAATATTTCAACCTTAGACCCTTCTTTCATTGATTGGAAAGGGGCTTCTCCAGAACAAAGGAAGTTCAAAGCCAGATCAGAATGAATGATGACTGAGTTATAATTCATCAAAAGGTTCCGTTCCAATCCCTGATACTGTGCTGGTATAAAAGTTCATTTAAAAAAAAAATCACCTCTCGTGAGAATTGGTTTATTATCCAATACCAAGATAATTATCAACAACAATTGTTTTATGAGTAATTGTGCAATTGTGTAATGACTTCATGAGTAATGACTTCACTGATCATGTTTTCTTCATTGCTTTTTGCAGGGCTTTTTTTTTTTGTCATAGAATGCCCAGAACGGAGTTCCGGCACCTTTTTTGGATGGAACCTTGTAGGGTAGGCAAGGTGGGTTGTATGATGTGTGTGAGTTCTGGCACCTTTTTTTTTTTAAAGCACTGGCTTTTTGTTTCATTCCCCTAGTTTACAGTCCCCTGTCACTACCACTATATTTATAGATACTTATAATTTAGACCAAAGAAAAAAAAAAGAATAATTTATGCATCTAATGACATGGACTCTCATAATAAATGGGCCGGATAATCAAGAAATTGCAATAATTTTCAAGCCGAATATAATCAATTAAAAAAAAAGGCTTTTGAAAAGTCTGATTTTAAAAATGGTTAGCTTGCAAATGAGTAAAAAAAAAATTCTAAGATTCATTTTAAAGTACGCAGTGCAAATCTTATAAATAAGAAATCAAGAGATGTCTGCAGAAAAATAAAAAGTTGCATCTAAAGGGATGTTCGGGTAGATATGAAAGGTACAGATGTTCTACATTTGAAATTAGGAACAGCAGCAGCAGCAAAACTGGTGCT